TTCCCCCCCCCCGCCGCACTGCAGCCCCCATCCCGCGGTGTCCCCCCCAGCTCCCCCCGCCTGGAGCGTGACAGACGACCCGGCGTTCAGCCGCCAGCCCCGCTGCGCCCAAATCGACCGGACCCAGCACTGCAGCTGCGAGCCCGGCTTCCATATGAGCGGCACGGCCGCCAACGGCCTCTGCCAGGGTGAGCCGCGGCAAGGGGGACGCGGTGGGGTGGGCTGCGGGGTCTCGGCCGTGCACCCGCTCCCCTCGTGCTCCCCTCGTCTCTCCGCAGACCTCAACGAGTGCGAGGTGTACAAGCGGGAGGGGGGTCCCCGGCTCTGCGCCCACGCCTGCGTCAACCTCCCCGGCTCCTACCGCTGCGCCTGCCCCGCCGGGTACATCCTCCTGGGTGACGGCAAGAGCTGCGAAGGTGAGGAGGGGCTGGAAACCTGTGGATTTACCACTTTTCCCAAGTTGCATGTCTGCTTTTTCATTTTTTTCCCTTTTTTCTCCCTGTTTGCAAGCATCTCCGTGTGCGGGTTTGCACAGAGAGGTGGTTCCCAGGCTGGGTGCGGAGGGGAGGAAAATGATGGAGGTCGAGGCGCTGGCAGACACGTGCGATGCTTTGGGGCTGGGGGAGCCCCGCTGCGGTGGTGGGCTGTCCCCTGCGAGCGGGGTGTCCCCGAGAAGGAACACAAAGAGCGTTAAAAAGCAAGAATTAGACGGCGAGGGGTCAGCTTGGAGGCCGGCAGCTTCTCCTCCTGAAAGAGGGGAGCTGGGGTGTGGGTTGAGAGCACAGCAAAGCGGCAGCGGGTAGGGATGGTGGGTGGCCAGAACTGCCCCTATGAAAGTCTCCTCCTGAAAAACAGGGCATTTTTTGTGTTATAAAGTGTTGATGAATGCAGCTCGTGGTGAAAAAGCTCTCCCTTTCTCCTGAATTTCTGCGTGTTTCCACAGCATCTTGGTAATGCTCCCAGCAAATATCTGCAGTCAAAGCTCCAGATTTCATTGCCAGGTGTCTTAGTGGTTACATAGGTGTTTAGTAAATAAAAAGAGATGGTGTTTTCAAACAACTTGGGAAAGTTAGGAAAATAAGCTGCCCTCCTGCTGTGAGAGTGCTGCCGTTAACCCTTGGTGGCCCAGGGCAGAGCTCGGGGAGAGGAGAGCAGGCGCAGAATGGGATTTTAGGCGATTTAGGTGTTTTCAGCCTTACTCCCACACTGTTTTGATCACCGTTTCAAGGTGCTTTTGCCTGTTTTCCACCAAAAGGAGCCCCTCAATGGGGTTGGTTCGAGCTTGACCTGCTGGCTTCCCCTGTTTTGCAGACATCGACGAGTGCGCCCTGTCCCAGGATAACTGCACGGGGGGGACCACCTGCATCAACACGGGGGGCGGCTTCCAGTGCGTCAGCCCCCAGTGCCCCCAGCCCGCCGGCAACGTCACCTACGTCAAAACGTCACCCTTGTAAGTGCGGTGGGATGCAAAACCCGTCCCTGCTCCATTTTGTGGGGTGCTGGGTCCCAAAACGTGCATAGCATCCATGTGGATCCAATGCCACTGCGGTGGGGGACGCGGACTCCGCATCCCTGGGGTTCCCTGAAAACCTCACCCCGCTTTTGCCTTTGCAGCCAGTGCGAGCGCAACCCCTGCCCGATGGAGAGCCGGTCATGCCACCAAGCACCCAAAACCATCGCGCTTCGGCATCGTGGGCGGCAACAACCGCGGCCACTTCGTGATGCAGCGCTCGGACCGGCAGACCGGGGAGCTCATCCTGGTGCAGAGCCTCAAGGGTCCCCAGACCATCCAGGTGGACGTGGACATGTCCGAGTACCTGGACCGTGTCTTCCAGGCCAAGCACGTGTCCAAAATCACCGTCTTCGTCTCCGCGTATGAGTTTTAGGGGAGGCGGCAGCCGGGGCGGCTTCCCTGACGGCGATGGGCCCTGCTCGGCATCCTCCACCCAAAAGCGCTAGCCCTGGAGGCAGGCGTGTAATGGGAGCTCCAGGTGACATCCCACGCCGCAGCCCCTCTGCAGCCAACCATCCTCCCCTCTGCGTTAACGTTATTCTGCCCAGGCGGCTTTTACACCCACCTATGTGGGGGGGAAAAAAAGCAAATGAGGTGGAAAAGAAATCAGGTTCAGGGGTTCCCTGCTCGCCGGGGCGCGGGAGCAGAGCATCGTCCCCACCCGAGGCTCCAGAAGGACGATGTCCCACAGCCTCGGCGCCTACAACAGCGCAGAAAACAGCAGGTAGAAACCACGGCCCTTATTTCCTTTTTCATTCCTTTTTTTTTTTCTTTAGGAAAGAAGTTAAGCTGGTGCATGCAGGAGGAGGGAGGCTCATAGCAGCTACCGCTCTCCTCCCCGCTGGCACAGGCTTGCTTGCGCTGACCCCAGCCCCGTAAAAACGTGCCTCCGCTCCTCTTGGGATGCTGAGAAAACCCACAGCAGCCTGCGGGGAGGGGGCTGGTCCCGTATCTCAATCCCCTGGGATTGACTGGGACTGCAAAAATCCCTGAACATCCATCCCGACAAGACCTGGCTGGCTCTCTGTGCTCTCCGTGGCAGGCGGGATGTTGCTGCTGGGCGCAGGAGGAGTCCCAGGGCTCTGCAGCTCCTAAAGCCTCCTGAACGGGGTTGCGTGCGTGCGTCCCCCTGCGCCGTGACCTCGGGGAGGGCTTCGGCTGCGCTCGGTGCTCGTGTCGAGGGAGCTCGAGGTGTGAATATTTCATTTTTCGACCAGCCGCAGCCTCCCCCCCGCTGTGTGTAAGCAGCTCCAGGAGTAGCTGGGGTTTGGCTGTAACACATGCCGGGGCGGGGCGGACACCTCCCCGGTCCTTTCTTCCCCCTCGGTACCTGTTCCTCGGTGCAGTGCTTGTGCATGTTAACCACAAAACCTCGACGTTATGCATGTTTCTTCATTATGCTGGTTTTAGTACCATTAAACGATGATATAGCCTCTGAGCAGGTGCAGAGCAAAGTCCCCGACGCGTGTGCGGCCGGGGGGCAATGCTCACCCGGAGCCAGCCGGTGGGGCTCAGGGTCCGTGGGGCAAGAACCTGCCTCCCTTATTTTTATTTTTCTGCCTCATGTTGCTTGGAAGGGGCTGGCCGGTGGCAGGGCGGCTCATCCCTGAGCATCCTTCCCCCCGAGCATCCTCCGGAGGCCTCAAGGAAGAGGAGCCTGCTGCTGCCCCCCAAAAAAGGGGCAGCGGGACAGAGTCCCCTCAGGGGGCACGGTGTGCGCGCCGAGCTGCACCCGCTAAAATCCTCCCCACTCCTTGCCCCAGGGGAAGAGACTTCCCGACGAGCCTGATCTGTGCTGCATCCTTTGGGGGATCGAGCTCCCGGCGGCTCGATCCCCCTTTTTGGGGGTACGGCTTGTCAGTGGGAGCTCGGAAGGGGGGCAGGACTCTCCCCGCAGAACAAGGAGGGACATTCAGTGCCTGGTCCTCGCCGCTGTCGGCACGGGGCTGCCGGAGCCCGGCACGGCGGATGGAGGATGTTTGGGTTGGCGGGCGCTCTGGCTGGACGGCGGAGCCGGGCAGGGAAATGCATCCCAGGGTTGTGCTGGGGGAGGGAAATTAAAACCTAACAGGCTCGCTCCTCCACCCGAGTCCTTAAAAAAGAAAAAAAAAAAAAAAAAAAAAGCTTTTCTGAAAGCGTAGCTGCTTTCAAAAGCGGGTGGTGGTGGAGAGGGGTGGCCCGGCTCCAGCGGGAGCACGGGTCCCTGCGGAGCAGCAGAGCTGGGGGTTGCCCACCTTTAGATGGGGGTGCGGGAGATCCGCAGGGAAGGACCCCCAGCTGCCGGAGGACAAAGCCCAGGAGGACCGTCAGGAGAGGAGAACGGAGCGGCTGGTGGGGCGGCTCAGTGCTGCCTCCCTCGGAGGGGGCTGCGGTGTCCTCACCTCTCCCGAGGCAGGAGGAGCCCCCTGTCCTGCTGAGGACACCCCCTTAAGCCTGGGGCGGTGTGGGGGGTGTCACCGTGCAGCTGGCCTCGGCACGGGGAAGGAGAAGCCTTTGGGGACCTGGCTGGGAACAGCCCCGCAGGAGGTTGTGCTGCAAGAGAAACGGGGTTGCGATATGGATGGCAAAGGATGGGAAACCCTCACCTTCCCCCGCCGGGGCGCTGCGGGGGAAATCCTGCACGCGCCAGCTCGGTGCGCAGACGGGGCTGGGATCGGAGGACGATGCCGGGCATCGTCAGAGGAGGGACAGGGAACGGGCAGGACACACCACTGGACATCCAGGATGCTCCTGAGCAGCAGGCGACGAGGTTTTCCTCAGAGCTACCCGGACCCCGGCCAAGTTGCCTTTCATCCAGGAAAGGGAGCAGTTATCCCCGTGAACGCGTCCCGGCGTGTGTTTTAAATTAGCGCCTTAGATAAGAGAGCAGCGCTGCCGAGGCGGCTGGCCGTGTCCTCGTACGCCACCGAACATCGCTGCTGGAAGACAAAAGCCCTAACAGGAAAGGAGCTGAGCTGAAATGAGAAGGAATATTTTATTTTATTTATTTTTTTAGGAAAAGCTGAGGATGGACGGACAGCTTGGAGGAAAGAAAACAACGTTATGAGAAGGACGGCTACAGAGCAGGCAGCCTGTGGTTTGCCGGAGCAGAGTCTGCCCGGCCGCGGTTGCCCAGCGTGGCTGGACGTGCTTCCGCAACGCGCCGTTACAGCGGTTTAGGGCTGATAAAGAAATCCCTGCGCATGGGGATGTGCTCCTCCATGAGGTGCAGAAGAGGAGGCCGGGGACGTGCGAGGAGCAGCTCCCGGTGCGCTACCTCTGCCATCTCCGCCACCCGTTCCTAGCCGCGGTACCTCCGACGGGGTGAATGATGTGTTTCATCATCCTTGCACCCACTGCACTTTCCCCCCCGCCGCCTTGCCGGGCTCTGGGAGCCAAAAAACAGGAGTCCATAAGAAGATAAATTCCTAATGGGGCAGAATAGTTTCCGTCTGATGCTTTAACTGGCTAACGAGGCTGGAGACAGGCATTTGGAGCTTTGCACCGGAGGCCTTTCCTCGCAGCACAACCCTGAACTGACAACATTTTCCTAATTCCCGAGGCCAGGGTGAACTGGTTTCCCCTCTCCGGGTTGGGCTGGCACGCCGCCGGGGCTTGTAAAGCCATGCCTGTCCTCCCAGCCGCTTCTTGCCCGCCTCAAGGGCCAGGACCGGAGCCGGGAAGCTCAGCCGCCTCTCCCAGCGTTAGCTGGCTGCGGATCTCCCTTTCAGCCCCAGAAACGTTTAAGGTCGGCTCTCCGGTGTCTGGACTGGGCTGCAAACCTCTGGCCAGCTTTGAGCTGACTAAAGGAGATTTTTTTTTCCCCTCCCAGAGCGCCCGCTCCGGCATCTTGCAGACTTCCAGAGCCTGGAATGTGCAGAGAGAGGCTCTTCTGGCCCTGGTAAATACAACTTCTCTTTGGGATAATAATATTTTGGAGCTCAAAAAATAGCCAGTTTGCCTCTGCTCCGCTTCTGCGGGCTGCAGGCGGGCGGTCCCTGGCGCAACTGACCCCAGATGCGCTCCGTGTGCCCCGGGAGAGGCTGGCCGCCCTGCCCGAGCCCCAAAGCCACAGTTCCTTGCCCCGAACGGCTGGGAGGCGAGGGTGCAAAGGCTGAAGACCTCGCGTGGAGGTGGCCTCGGAGGGAGGCTACGCGGCGCCCGCCGAGGTGCCAGTTTTCTCCTTCTCCTCCTCGTCCTCCTTCCAAAATGCATTCCCGGTGGGCCTCTCCCTGCCGAGCATCCCAAGTCCCGAGCATCCCCGCACTTCTCCTCGCCGTCGGTCTGATGGGATACACCCCTGCAAGCGAAAGAACGAGGATTATCTCTTTTAACACACGAGAGAACCTCAGGTTATGTTCAACTGTAGGTTAAAATCTGAATTTTATTATCTAGCCAGCATCCTCGAGAAGTCCACGCCCGGTGCACGTCCCTCCGCGCCGCCGCGTCTCCTCCCACCCCACGGAGTCCTATCGCGGTTCGAATCCTCGCTGAAGCGAAAGCGCGAGCGCGCATGCCAAAACACTTATTAATCCCGTTACGGGCTTTAACGACGAGCCGAAGCACGACATTTTTATTTGTTATGGTTGCTAGGTACGTTGCTACGCTCTCCACACCATACCCCAGATCCCAGTATATTTGTGATATCCGAGAGCGCGGGCCGGGGAATTTGTTTGGCTGCTATTGCCAAATTTAGTTATACTTTGAAAAAAAAAGAAGAGCCATTCAGGAGCTTCTCACAAGCCTACATTTTTCCCTGGAATGCAAACACAGGTAGGGATATTTAAACAAGCTCCTGCCGACACGTTTTTGTTGGTTTAAAAGGGATTTTTGCACCTGCGCAGGCTGCAAGAAAAGCGGGAGCCAGGCTTTCATTCTGAATTTGAAATCCCTTTTTTTTTTGCCCGGTGCCTGGGGAGCTGAGCCCTGTGGGCACTGGCTCCTGGGCCGCACACCACACATGCACACAGGCAGATGGGACTAATTAGTTGTAATTAGCCCTAATGGCCCTCAGCAGCCCCACCTGAGGCCACCACCCACACCCCTCCCACGCTCCCTAGAGCCCTATTTCAGTCCCGGAGCCGCAGGAGCCCAGGTTTCCAGCTCGGGTTGGTTTCCTGGCTTGATGTGGGACTCGTGCGATGATCCAGGCCCTGGGTTGAACTTGGCCGTGACCCCCGGCCCTGCTCGTCTCGCTCAGGTACTGCCCCGGTGCGCCAGGCCACGGAGAGACGGCTCTTTCCTCGTGGATGCGAGGCCACGCTTTGCCTCTGTGTAAGGGGAAAAACCTCCCTCCCAAATGGGAACCGATGTGGGTGTTCTCTCTTTTTTACTTTTCCTTAAATTTTATTTTTTGCTAGGATTGCTGGCACTGGAAAAAGAGAGTCATGTGTC